AAGCCCATTTCTGGTGTCCCCCGCCGTGATATTGCTGGAATATTGCTAAAAGCGGCGTAAAACCAAACTCACTCACTCACTCACTAATGTGGGAGGAAAGCCCGAAGTGATGCAGGTCACAGATGTTTACCACTTCGGTGAAACCCACGAGCACGGGTATGGTGCTGACAAACCTGGAAACATAATCGACCGCATGTTGACCCGGGGCTTGTCCCCTTCAAAGTTATTTTCGCAGCGTGGATCACTCATAAAGATCCAATATCAGTTTGTTCTCATGTCTTGTTATTTTGATATAAATAATGATCTCGCGATACATCTTGCTTATTGGATTGGAACGCAGCCTAGTGGTTAAAGCGATAGCTTGTCACGCCAAAGGCCCGGGTGCGATTTACACATGCATGTGAAGGCCATTTCTTGAGTGGCCCGCCGTGATTTTGTTGAAATGTTGTTAAAAGCGGCGTAAATCCACTCACTTTGCCATGGATGTACACAAGACTTACAACGTCATACCTTTATCGTTTTTCGTTCTCCTCTAGAACCCCGAACATGTCATATGCATACAATTACTCACAAAGTGATGATTGAGACCACGGGACAATGAAATATAGTCAATTCAGGACTATTTGTTAGTTTGTTTGATGAGACCGGAATGTTTCAAAATGAGGTCTTAGACGTTTTCCACTTTGGTGAAACTGAGATGCTGAAAAGGCAAGGGTCATAATCGGGGCCAATCTGGGATGAGAAGCTCCGATCATAGGAGCCTTGAGAACCCAAGGGACACAACTCTGCAAAGCGTCTTAGATGCTCCCTTTAACGTAATCAACGTCAAACGTTGACATTGAAGTCGATAACAGCACAAATATTGATAAACATCATGACAATACCTACCTTCCTAATGAAGTTAGTTACTTCGAGACAAAAGGATTATCTGTTATCATATTGATATATTGTGTGGGTGTTTCAAATGTAGTATGTGTCCGCATCTTGATCATTGCTAACATATCTTATTCTGCGTATTATAGAAGCTGGTAATGCAAAAATATGTGAATGCAATTAATGTTAAGAAGCTCGATCTATTTACCGGTAAGTGGCTAGAACACTTTGCGTTCAACTTCCCCAACTGACGTCTTTGTCTGTCCTCGATAGGCACACGTAACGAGGGAGAGTAAAAACTCGCCATGTAAATATGATTATCTCGTGACCTAACACATAAACTGAATACTTGCTATTCATCAAGTTCTTCTGAAAACGGAACCACACAGGTGACATGACCACATTGCCCTCCAAGTCAAATACGCTTTGCGCAAATGAATGATGTCACACAGTACTCTATGAAAGCGTATTAGTGTCACATTTTAAAATAAAATATCTACGCAGATGATACTTTCATCGACGTAGATAATGTGATTTTTCTTAGATTGTGGCACTAATAAGCTTCCGTAGTGCTCTGACTTCACGCATCGAGAATTATCATACTGAAACGTCATAGTGTAAACTTTACGGATCTTGCCTTAAGCAGTACGCGACCTGTAGTGAAATGGGAAGTAATTTACTTCTTGTTTGATAAATTACGTAGTCGATTGACTATTAGTCTCTGATTATAGGTTGAATCGCTTCATCTTGGCGAGAGATTGACACCGGATGCTACCGATAGGGCAGAGCATGCTTACATTTTCGCGAACACCTGGAGTCATCAATGATTTTCAGTGATCCATTCATATAATTTTCACCTATTTTGCCTTTTGCGCCCAGTGGAATCTGTTTCGTCAGATAATCGAGACTGGTAATTCTCCGGCGTTGATGTTTAAATTAAAGTACTTGTAAAACACAACGCCACACCAGTACGTCCTGAATGCAAGTTACCTTGGCGCCTGTCATTTCACGTCGTGTCGTAATGTGTTTGTTTGTTGTTTAACGTCGCACTTAACAATATTCCAGCTATATGACGACGGTCTGTAAATACTCGTGTCTGGACCAGCCAATCCAGTGATTGATATGATGAGCATAAATCTAAGCAACTAAGTCAGCGAGCCTGACCACCTGATCCTGTTAGTCGCCCCTTACCACAAGCATGGGTTGCTGAAGATTCTAACCTGGATAATCACGGCGCACACAGTAATCGTGAGTAATCGAGTCCGGGTCTTCACAGTGGCGAGACAACGCTTATCCACTATGCTACCCCACCAACACTGCCACTACCACCGTCCCACCCACAGACACACACACCCCAACCCCAACCAACCCTCCGGCCCCTACCGTTGTAACATTACCGTTACATAAATGAGAATGAAACAATGCGACGTTAAATGTGAACTCACTCATACCGTTATAACATTAATAGCTTAATAACTGTTACTTAAGCAGCGGAACCAAACCAAACACAACATTTAATCACATCTATCAATATGCATTACTTTTTAATCATAATAAACAACGGTTATTCTAACCCGGATCTTCACGGGGGGCATGCTGACATGAAAGGTTCGCTAAAACTGTTATAGTATTATACTGTTATACTACAACACATATGTAGCAGGGACAGTAGGATGATAAGGAGAATCAAACAACGCTGCATACGTTCACTAAAGTGGCTGTGGACAATCAAGATTAAATTTATCTAATAACAATAGAGGGATATGGACAATCAAGATAACTTCATTTCATAAACATAGAGTGATTGAGTAAGTATGGTTGCTTTTAGCAATATTCCAGCAATATCACGGCGGGGGACACCAGAAATGGGCTTCACACATTGTACCCATGTCGGGAATCGAACCCGGGTCTTCGGCGTGACGGACGAACGCTTTAACCACTAGGCTACCCGACCGCCCCTATAAACATAGAGATATGGAAAATCGACATAACTGCATATTGTAACTGTTATCAACAATAATCCAATGGGTGTCTGGACAGGCATGTAAATTGTAAGTGTGCACACTTTGCTGGTGAGTGAGTGAGTATGGTTTTACGCCGCTTTTAGCAATATTCCAGCAATATCACGGCAGGGGACACCAGAAATGGGCTTCACACATTGTACCCATGTCGGTAATCGAATCCGGGTCTTCGGCGGGACGAGCGAATGCTTTAACCACTAGGCTACCCGACCGCCCCTTGCTGTTGAGAGTTCAGCACTTCGCAGAGCTGGCATCAGCCGAGTGTGTCATTTCTGCAACATTTCGTCCTTTGGCCGAATCCCAGATATATTCGTCGTCATTATAATCTTTGGTCTATCAGCACCGCACAGTGACGGGGGATTTCGTCAAACTGGAACATGTCTATGATCTGCATTGCGTTGAGCTTTCCTCCCACAATTGGGGCGGGGTGGGGGCGGGATGTAACTTGAACTGTTGTGAGACTCAACGTTAAACCCAAGTTATGCCTCTAACGATCATAGCGTTCTTGGTTCGTTTGTATTCTTGACATTGAGATCATTCAAGCTGACTTTTGTATGCATATACAAAGCTCCAAGCAACGACCAACCGTTGCCGTTGGCTTTTTAATTTGATTATATGTCAGTGTGTCTGTTTTCATCAAATCAGCCCGTGCTGGTCCTAATACAAGATATATGGTAGGTCGAACGACAAGATGATCAATGTATGGCATGGGTAATATTCTGGCACCGGTGGCAAGGAAGTGTATTCCCATGGAATCATAGTGCAATCTCTGTAATCATATACCATACAAATAATAATAGAAATACGGGGTGTAGAAGTGTCCATGTCAACAGACATCCCCGGCAAAGTAAACAGAAAGTCATGGTATCCTTGATTGTTCTGATGTATTAGTTTTCAATGTTTTATCAAGTGAGTGAGTGAGTGAGTATGGTTTTACGCCGCTTTTAGCAATATTCCAGCAATATCACGGCGGGGGACACCAGAAATGGGCTTCGCACATTGTACCCATGTCGGGAATCGAACCCGGGTCTTCGGCGTGACGAGCGAACGCTTTAACCACTAGGCTACCCGACCGCCCCTTTTATCAAGATTATTAGCCGATTAGGATTCCTTATCGTAATATCATATAATGGGAATAGGCGAGCATAAATTATAGTTTTTTTATTCGGAATATATGATATTTACGATGAGGCAGCACACGAGGTTAGTAATCACTTTATCATAAAATAATTTTGATCAAGACGTACACTGTAACTCTACTTTAATGAATTGTTTATAAAAACGCGTATGAAACAATGTTTGCAATGTTTTAGATAGTGATGTCCTGATGTGTAAGTGTTTATGTGGACTGACACACCTGTAAGTTATTTGGCACAATATGATACACGGGGCGATCAAATTAAATTGGAAAGTTAATTTGTCAGTTCTTCATTATAGCAAGCTGACATTGCATCGATATGTACTGGAACTTTCCTTCAGGTGACCTCATGTGCATATTTATCTGATCATGATAGCAGAGATCTATTTTATTGTCTCTGATGATACCAACTTTGTCCGATTGGTTTATCGCATCAATAATCACTATCCACATGATAAGATATTTACAGGATAAGATATTTACAGGATAAGATATTTACATGATAACCGTTTTAACAATAAGGTAACCTTCTGTGAAACTATTGCAATGTTGGCAAAAAACAGGTCTTCATATTTGTATATCCTTGTCTAGAACATTAGGATATTAATATGCTTTTAGGTATGATATGTGTTCCACGATCCCGAATAATTAGTTTGATTACCTTCCCCTTACGAATTACCTTAATAAACCCAAGCCACTGATCTTCCTCGTGTATATTATACGTAAAGGCCGCCATTGTCCCTAGTCTGGGCTGGGAACGAGCGTATTTACATGTGACATTATCCCAATCCCCCCTGAGTCTCTGGGACAACAGTCTTAGATGGTCGTGCCAGATTACAATCAGGAGGAGACGTTCAGCCATCAACAACATATTAGGTAGGTCCTAATGGAGGTGGTCCTACTGACCTTTAGCGTTGGGCACAGCAGGTAACAGGGCTGACGTGAATGGAGACGCGTGTGCAGGATTAATGTGCGACACCCACATACACACGTACAGAATATACACATTGTTTGGAATAAGAAATCAATGCATTAACAAATTAAATGGCTCACTGGGAGATTCTTCCACTAAGACCAGCCACAAGTTAACTGATTCTTCCACCAAGTCCAGCCACAAGTTGACTGATTCTTCCACCAAGTCCAGCTACAAGTTGACTGATTCTTCCACCAAGTCCAGCCACAAGTTAACTGATTCTTCCACCAAGTCAAGCCACAAGTTGACTGATTCTTCCACCAAGTCCAGCTACAAGTTGACTGATTCTTCCACCAAGTCCAGCCACAAGTTGACTGATTCTTCCACCAAGTCAAGCCACAAGTTGACTGATTCTTCCACCAAGTCCAGCCACAAGTTGACTGATTCTTCCACCAAGTCCAGCCACAAGTTGACTGATTCTTCCACCAAGTCCAGCCACAAGTTGACTGATTCTTCCACCAAGTCCAGCCACAAGTTGACTGATTCTTTCACCAAGTCCAGCCACAAGTTGACTGATTCTTCCACCAAGTCCAGCAACAAGTTGACTGATTCTTCCACCAAGTCCAGCCACAAGTTGACTGATTCTTCCACCAAGTCAAGCCACAAGTTGACTGATTCTTCTACCAAGGCAAGCCACAAGTTGACTGATTCTTCCACTAAGCCCAGCCACAAGTTGACTGATTCTTCCACCAAGTCCAGCCACAAGTTGACTGATTCTTCTACCAAGGCAAGCCACAAGTTGACTGATTCTTCTACCAAGGCAAGCCACAAGTTGACTGATTCTTCCACCAAGTCCAGCCACAAGTTGACTGATTCTTCCACCAAGTCCAGCCACAAGTTGACTGATTCTTCTACCAAGTCCAGCCACAAGTTGACTGATTCTTCTACCAAGGCAAGCCACAAGTTGACTGATTCTTCCACCAAGTCCAGCCACAAGTTGACTGATTCTTCTACCAAGTCAAGCCACAAGTTGACTGATTCTTCTACCAAGGCAAGCCACAAGTTGACTGATTCTTCCACCAAGTCCAGCCACAAGTTGACTGATTCTTCCACCAAGTCCAGCCACAAGTTGACTGATTCTTCTACCAAGTCCAGCCACAAGTTGACTGATTCTTCTACCAAGGCAAGCCACAAGTTGACTGATTCTTCCACCAAGTCCAGCCACAAGTTGACTGATTCTTCTACCAAGGCAAGCCACAAGTTGACTGATTCTTCTACCAAGGCAAGCCACAAGTTGACTGATTCTTCCACCAAGTCCAGCCACAAGTTGACTGATTCTTCCACCAAGTCAAGCCACAAGTTGACTGATTCTTCTACCAAGTCAAGCCACAAGTTAACTGATTCTTCCACCAAGTCCAGCCACAAGTTAACTGATTCTTCTACCAAGACCAGCCACAAGTTGACTGATTCTTCCACCAAGTCCAGCCACAAGTTGACTGATTCTTCCACCAAGTCCAGCTACAAGTTGACTGATTCTTCCACCAAGTCCAGCCACAAGTTAACTGATTCTTCCACCAAGTCAAGCCACAAGTTAACTGATTCTTCCACCAAGTCAAGCCACAAGTTGACTGATTCTTCCACCAAGTCAAGCCACAAGTTGACTGATTACTCCAGTAAAGCTACGTATGATTCGCACAGTCAATCCTGAATCAGTAAGTCTATTTGAAATAGACTGGTTCGCCCCATCGCTCAACAGATTGACTAATTTCCCCAGCCAAAGACTGATTCATCAAGACCTAATTGCCAGGTCAACGCAGTCTTTGTTGACAAGTTGACTGATTCACCCAGTCTATCTACAAGTTGACTGAATCACCCAGTCTATCTACAAGATGGCTGAATCGCCTAGTCAATCTACGAGTTGACTGACACACACAGTCTATCTGCAAGTTGACTGATTCGCCCAGTCTATCTACAAGTTGACTGATTCAGCCAGTCTATCTACCAGTTGACTGGTTCACCCAGTCTATCTACAAGTTGACTGAATCACCCAGTCTCTCTACGAGTTGACTGATTCGCCAAGTCTATCTACAACATGACTGATTAAGTAAATTTATTTACATGTTTCACTGATCCACCAAGTCTATCTATAAGTTGACTGATCCACCAAGTCTTTCTTCAAGTTGACTGATCCACCAAGTCTATCTACGAGTTGGCTGATACACACATTCTATCTGCAAGTCTACTGATCCACCCAGTCTATCTACAAGTTGACTGAATCGCCCAGTCTATCTACAACATGACTGATTAAGGAAGTTTATCAACAAGTTGACTGATTCACCAAGTATATCTACAAGTTGACTGATTGACCAAATTTATTTACATGTTTCACTGATTAGCCCAGTCTATCTACAAGTTGACTGATCCACCCAGTCTATCTACAACATGACTGATTGACCAAATTTAGTTACATGTTTCACTGATTCACCCAGTCTATCTACAAGTTGACTGATTCACCTAGTCTATCTAAAAGTTGACTGATTCGCCAAGTCTATCTACGAGCTGACTGATTCACCCAGTCTATCTACAAATTGACTGATTCACCAAGTCTATCTACAACATGACTTATTCACCCAGTCTATCTACAAGTTGACTGATTCACCCAGTCTATCTACAAGTTGACTGATTAACGAAGTTTATCTACAAGTTGACTGATTCACCAAGTATATCTACAAGTTGACTGATTAACGAAGTTTATCTACAAGTTGACCGATACACCCAGTCTATCTACGAGTTGACTGATTCACCCAGTCTATCTACAAGTTGACTCATTCACCCAGTCTATCTACAAGTTGACTGATCCACCCAGTCTATCTACAAGTTGACTGATTAACCAAATTTATCTTCAAGTTGACTAAATCGCCCAGTCTATCTACAAGTTGACTGATTCACCCAGTCTATCTACAAGTTGACTGAATCGCCCAGTCTATCTACAACATGACTGATTAACGAAGTCTATCTACAAGTTGACTGATCCACCCAGTCTATCTACAAGTTGACTGATTCACCCAGTCTATCTACAACATGACTGATTAACGAAGTTTATCTACAAGTTGACTGAACCACCCAGTATATCTACAAGTTGACTGATTGACCAAATTTATTTACATGTTTCACTGATTCACCCAGTCTATCTACAAGTTGACTGATTCACCCAGTCTTTCTACAAGTTGACTGATTGACCAAGTCTATCTGCAAGTTGACTAAATCGCCCAGTCTATCTACAAGTTGACTGAATCACCCAGTCTATCTACAAGTTGACTGATTCACCCAGTCTATCTACAAGTTGACTGATTCACCCAGTCTATCTACAACATGACTGATTAACGAAGTTTATCTGCAAGTTGACTGAATCGCCCAGTCTATCTACAAGTTGACTGATTGACCAAATTTAGTTACATGTTTCACTGTTTCACCCAGTCTATCTACAAGTTGACTGAATCGCCCAGTCTATCTACAAGTTAACTGATTAGCCAAATTTATCTTCAAGTTGACTGAATCGCCCAGTCTATCTACGAGTTGACTAATACACACATTCTATCTGCAAGTTGACTGATTCACCCAGTCTATCTACAAGTTGACTGAATCGCCCAGTCTATCTACAAGTTGGCTGATAAACGAAGTTTATCCACAACTTGACTGAATCACCAAGTCTATCTACGAGTTGACTGATTCGCCCAGTCCATCTACAAGTTGACTGATTCACCCAGTCTATCTACAACAAGACTGATTAGCCAAATTTATTTACATGTTTTACTGATTCACCCAGTCTATCTACAAGTTGACTGATCCACCCAGTCTATCTACGAGTTGACTGATTAACCAAGTTTATCTCCATGTTTCACTGATTCACCCAGTCTATCTACAAGTTGACTGAATCGTCCAGTCTATCTACAAGTTGACTGAATCGCCCAGACTATCTACGAGTTGACTGATTCACCCGGTCTATCTACAACATGACTGATTCACCCAGTCTATCTACAAGTTGACTGATTAACCAAGTCTATCAACAAGTTGACTGATTCATCCAGTCTATCTACGAGTTGACTGATTCACCCCGTCTATCTACAAGTTGACTGATTCACCCAGTCTATCTACAAGTTGACTGATTCTACCAGTCTATCTACAACATGACTGACTAACGAAGTCTATCTACAAGTTGACTGATTCACCCAGGATATCTACAAGTTGACTGATTAATGAAGTTTATCTACAAGTTGACTGATTCACCCAGTCTATCTACAAGTTGACTGATTCATCCAGTCTATCTACGAGTTGACTGATTCACCCAGTCTATCTACAAGTTGACTGATTAACTAAGTTTATCTCCATGTTTCACTGATTCACCCAGTCTATCTACAAGTTGACCGATTAACCAAGTTTATCTCCCTGTTTCACTGATTCACCCAGTGTATCTACAAGTTGACTGTTTTTCCAAGCCTATCTACAAATTAACTGCATTACTAGTACCTAATCTATACAGAAGTTGACTGATTCACCCAGTTTATCTACAAAATGTCTGATTTCAAGTACCAAACTAAGAATGAATGAATACACAAGTTGGTTGAATCACCCAGTCTTAATGTTATGAACAGATATCTTAGTACCTCTAAGTCTATTATGAGTAAGGTTAAGTGCCGTATCGTTTATGGGACACTATGCGTCATTTTACGTACGCTCTACGGTGTAAATGGGCTACAGGCCGTACCGTTACCACGTCATCGATTGTAAAAACAAATGAGGGAGACTTTCATGTATGTTCTAGTATCAACGTGTTTTACACATAACGTATAGCATCAGTGCATGCCGAGGCCGTCAGAACGCTTGACTGGTCCTCAGCGAGTTAACAGGAGAAATGTTAACCTTCCTTTGACTCCACAGGAGGAAAGTATTCTATCTCCGATTCCGCAGGAAGAACAAATACAAGACGAAAGTATACTTTCCTCGATTAAACAGGAGAAAAAATACTCTCCCTCGAATCAACAGGAGGAAAGTATCCTTCATTCGATTAAACAGGAGAAAAAATACTTTCCCTCGCCACAACAGGAGGGAAGTATACGTTCCTAGATTAAACAGGAGAAACAATACTTTCCTCGCCTCAACGGGAGGAAAGTATGCGTTCCTAGATTAAACGGGAGAAACAATACTTTCCTCGCCTCAACAGGAGGGAAGTATGCGTTCCTAGATTAAACAGGAGAAAAACACTTTGTCTCGAATCAACAGGAGGGAAGTATGCGTTCCTAGATTAAACAGGAGAAAAACACTTTGTCTCGAATCAACAGGAGGGAAGTATGCGTTCCTAGATTAAACAGGAGAAAAACACTTTGTCTCGAATTAACAGGAGGGAAGTATGCGTTCCTAGATTAAACAGGAGAAAAACACTTTGTCTCGAATCAACAGGAGGGAAGTATGCGTTCCTAGATTAAACAGGAGAAAAACACTTTGTCTCGAATCAACAGGAGGGAAGTATGCGTTCCTAGATTAAACAGGAGAAAAACACTTTGTCTCGAATCAACAGGAGGAAAGTATGCGTTCCTAGATTAAACAGGAGAAAAACACTTTGTCTCGAATCAACAGGAGGGAAGTATGCGTTCCTAGATTAAACAGGAGAAAAACACTTTGTCTCGAATCAACAGGAGGGAAGTATGCGTTCCTAGATTAAACAGGAGAAAAACACTTTGTCTCGAATCAACAGGAGGAAAGTATGCTTTCACTCGATTCCACAGGAGGACAAAATGTGTTTAGACTAGGGCCTGATCCGAGTTCATCGACAGCCCTCAAGGTGAGCTTCCTGAGGGGCATTATGAGGTTATGTATGTTAGGCATAAGTTACAACTGTCATCGGGCTTAGATCTCTTTACAGGACGAGATAGTCCTAGAAGCTGGGCAGTTCAAGGCTTTCTTGTTAAGCATTTTCTTCAAGATTTCTTGACGACCTAAAGTTACTTCTAATCTTAACGTAACTGTATGCCAAAGTACGCGTTCTGTCTGACCGTTGCGAAACTTGGGTTGATTGGTGTAGGTCAGACAGGAGTCAGCTGATCAGACATTTACATCTGCCGGGATAACTTACTTTAATGCCATCATTTTAAACATGTCTGCTTCAACATTTGTCCTTTAGGTCACTTTGAGAAGAAGAAAAATATTGCTCCGCTTCAAAATATAAAAAAGACATGCCACGATAACGTAAGTCTGTCTGAAAGAATGGGTGTTGCTTACTCCATTGCCAAGATACCCTTGGCCAAGACCTCCTTAAGTTGCTGTGCTATCTAGATGGGGTGATCGTGAGTGCACAACGATATTTGTTATTATCATAAAATGTGTTTGATACGAAGATAAAGTAAATTAGTGTTTTTAAGCAAAGTGATTCACTAATTGGTCACAAGTTGTAATGACGTTTGTACAATCATGTTTGAAAGAGTGTGACAAACATTATCACACTTTCGTTGACGTCAAACGTGATTTTTGACGTATTTAATAAGGCCAATTACATGGAAAAGGAACACCTGCGTGTGGCCCCGTGATGATATTCCTGTGAACACAACATATCCTGTATGTCATTACATGAATCCTTAGGGAAGGAGATAAAGATGGAAACGTCAGAGAGAGAGAGAGAGAGAGAGAGAGAGAGAGAGAGAGAGAGAGAGAGAG